CTCAGAAGGCTAAGGCACGAGAATGGCAGGGGACCTACTTGCCTGGGCAATTTGGGTGGACCTATCTCAAAATAAAAGTTTTAAAGAGCACCAGGCATGATTGAACACCCACCTATAATCCTAGCACATTGGGTGACTGATGCAGGAGGATTACTGCAAATTCCAGGCCAATTTTGTCTAATAGTAAGTTCCAGGCTAGCCCAGGTTTCTGAGCGAGATCTTATCTCGAATCAATTAAGAGTCTAACTAGAACAATTGAAGGGGATCAGTTTGCTATGTCTGTCCCAAGGTACCACAATGCCCTGTGATGTACAATGGAGGGTTTAAAACAGGTTTATAGATGTACAGCTTCTGCCCACCATGAATCCTGGATGCTGGGGGCCAGAGTCTCCAGACTTTGCTCCCATCTTCCTCGTTTGCCTATCTCACGCTCCCAAACCCTCAGTGCTCCTTCCATGATGATTCAGCATCACACGAGCGCACCAGTGTGGGCATTACAGTTTAAGAACTCATTCATGAAAATTTCATGTGTCGTGGGAGGGGGTGCATGTTTGTGTGGGGGAAGGGGATAGATAGATACATTTGAGAATGTATAAAAGCCAGCGGTCAGTTCCCCTCAGATACCATCCACCTTTTTCTTTTTCTTTTCTTTTTTGCTTTGTTTGTTTGAGACAGGGTTTCTCCGTACCTTTGAAACCTGTCCTGGTACTAGCTCTTGTAGACCATGCTGGTCTCAAACTCAGAGATTCATCTGCCCCTGCCTCCCGAGTGCTGGGTTTAAAGGCATGCGCCACCACCCATCCACCCTTTTGTTCTGAGATAGAGTCTCTCACTGGAACTGGAGACTTGATGATAGGCTAGGCTTCCTGGCCATCTACCTGTCTCTACCTCCCCAGCACTGGGACTGCAAACAGATTCCACCATACATGGCTTTTGCTTTTAAATGGGTTCTAAAGATTGAACGCAGAGCCCCACATTTGTGGGGTATGTACTTTACCAGTTGAACCATCTCGCCATCCCCTGCTGGAAACATTTCTCATTTTAAAATTCCTTCTGCCCATCACCTTTCAAATATGACTAATCTGTTGTCTAAATGTGGCTTGTTTTTTTTTTTTTTTAAATTACATATCTGGGTGTTTTGTTTGCATGTCTGATGCCTGTGGAGGCCAGGAAATCTCCTGGAACTGGAGTCATAGACAGTTGTGAGCTACCATGTGGGTGCTGGGAATGCAACCCAGGCCTCTGGAAAAGCAGCTAGTGCTCTTAACCTCTTGAGTCATCTCTCTAGTTCACTAAATTGGCTTATTAATATTGTTTCGATACTACCAATCATTTACTGAATAGCTACAACAACCCAATTAGGAAGGTGTTATTATTTTTATCTTTTTAAAATTTTAATAGTTGGGGAAATTGGAGCCGGACAAGGTTAGTAACTTGCCAACAATCATACAGCTAGAAAAATGCAGAGCCAACATTTGGAATTGAGGTCTGTTGGGTCTGAGTGGCCCCTTAACGTACTGTTCTCTAGTTTAAAGGCAATCCAGTATTTGCCAGGCTCCTAGTAGACCCCTGGCTCTGAGCCTAATCGTTTAATAGCACACCTGATTAGAGACTTTAAGAACATATTTACATTTCCTTGCCAAGAGAATGGCAACATTAATATAGTCGATCCCTTTGGCAGCGGCATTCCAAATAAACAGACATTAACGAAAGGCCGCCCACTGAGTCCACGGGTAAGGAAACTTTAAGCTGACACATTTAGATACTTTCCTCTCCCCGTGCTAGCCACTCAAACATCCACAATCTCTGGCTATCTTATCCTTAGAAAAAAAACACCTCCAGCACGCCTGTCACCTTTCAGATCATCACAGGCATCCCGATCCCTTTCCTCTTCTAAAGCGAACATTCTGGAACACCGCGATCTCAGGCGCACCTATGACCACTTCAGATCAAATAGGAGAGTCTAACGCGTCTCAGTTCCCCTGTAACAGCCAACTGGAGCAGGAGTTACGCACGTATGGCATGCACCTTAGCCTCGCTCATATTATTGTCCAAAAAGGATGACCTGTTTTCTACGCATGTAGAATGTAGCTTTTCCATGGCCCCTTAATGTGTTCATGCTAAGATGGGTGTGCAGTCCTGCAGGTATACCTTTCAGAGGCAAACCTAATTTGTAGAAACTGCTCTCTGAAATCCAGGAATAAATTCTAAGTTATTCACAGACAAAGACAGAGGTAGGAGTTTGCAGAAATGAGCTAGGAAGGAGCTTAAAATACTTCACATTCCAGAAACTCCCTCCCTTCCCCCCCAGGAGACGGCTTTATTCCCCCTTTCCTTTCTCAGTCTGACTCAGAGGAACTGAAGGTTGGGTAGCTCCAGACCGTACTGTGTGTGAATTCAAAGAGCAGTTTTACTGCCTCCGAATTGTCCAGTTTGCTTTTCTGTGAAATGGGGCCACCCCCGGGCCCTGCTCTCTAGGTTGTGGTAAAGATGAAGATCGGCAAAGAAGCTAGCGTTGCCGTCTTTCCCCTGGGTCCTTATTACTCTAGGAAGGCTCAGGGATTCTTTCAAGGTGTGTATGGGGGTGATCCTTCAAATCAGTCTCTTGACAAATGGGCTCAGAAGAGTATATACCTCAAATGTACCATGCCCTGCGTTCAATTCCTAGCACCATCAAATACACCATAGCAAATAAAGAAGCACTTGGGAATTTTAAGAAAAATCATATTTGCCAGGTATGAGAGCATATGCCTTTAATCCTTGCATTCTAGAGGTGGAGGGGGGGGTCAGAAGTTCAAGGTCATGTTTCACTATATAGTGAATTCAAGACCAACCTAGGCTACGTAAGATCCTGTTATCATTCATAACGCTTGGTGACCTGAGGCTGGAGCAGACATACATGCAGGCAAACACCCATACACACGAAACAAAAATGATAAATACATCTTTAAAAATTGAAAAGAAAAGCTTTCTGAAACATCTTCTTAGGTTCTAGGTGTGGCAGTCCGATGGGATACTCACTTGACAAAAGATCGGACTTGCAAACTTGATTTTACTGTATGACTTTGGGCAAGAAAACACACTGGGCCCCAGTACAGTACTATGCAGTACAGTACGGCAGCGGTTGCTGCTGTTGCCTACTTACCAGGCTGTGATAAAGATCACCCTGGAGACGGAGGAGCTAAGAGCTTTTCTGTTCATTTTTGATGCTGCCTGAGATTGAACTCAGGGCTTTGCACATACCAGGCAGATGCTCTCCTACTGTACGTCCCAAGCCCCAGGAGAAGCTCCGCAGGCAGCCAGGCATCAGGCAGGCAGTGAGGCCCCAACTGTAAGGTAGGATTAGTGGAGACCCAAGTGGCCTCTCTCCCCCATGGTGTCCATGGCATTTTGAATAGCAACTGTTTCTTTTCACAGAGGGCATCTTTGGAGTGAAATTATCCAACCCAGGCCACAGATGCTGCTGCGGGGTGGCAGGCTGCTCTTGGGACATTTGTTTCACTTCATCCCAGAAAGGGCCAGGCACAGTGTCCCCAAACAGGCAGTGGAACAAGCAACTGACAGTGTAATCTCCTGATTCCTTCTCGGCACGTCCCATGTCAGAGGAGCTGATCAGAATCGTGTAAAGGATAAGGACCTCTGGTTCTAGGGATAGGCCGAACGCCACTCAAATCCCCATGCACGTACTACTCCTTTACTAATGGGGTGATTTTGCTTAGCTCTGTTTTCTTGTAGAACCTCATCATCTTCATTTGTAGCCTTGACAAAGTGGGGTTGGCTTAATACTCTGTGAGCAATAAGCAGTGATCCAGGAGGAAGGGCCATGGACAAAGCCTCTCCCCTTGCATTTACAACAATTTAATGGGAGAACTCTGCAGAGCCTTAATTTTCCTTTCGTTAATTGAGAGAGGAAGAAAAAAACAAAACAACAACAACAACAAAAAATCATCACACCAGAAATTCTCAGAGAATTGTTTTAAAACCATCCTACAGCTAGCCGGATGGTGGTGACTCATACCTTTGATCCCAGCACTCAGGAGGCAGAGGGAGGCAGATCTCTGAGTTTGAGGCCAGTCTGGTCTACACAGTCAATTACAGGACAGCCAGGGCTACACAGAAACCCAGAGAAATCAGATAGATGGATGGATGGATGGATGGATGGATGGATGGATGGATGGATGGATGAACAGACAGACAGACAGGGAAATAAAACTATCCTACAAATGGTTTTATGAGGCTAGGTGTGGTGTTGTACACCACAGTACCTAGGAGACAGAGGCAAGTAGATGCTCTCTGAGTTCAAGGCCATCCTAGTCTACATAGGCCAACCAAGGCTATATAATAAGACCCAGTCTCAAAAGACCAAAACCAGGCTGGGCATGATGGCACACGCCTTTAATCTCAGCATGTGGGAGGCAGAGGCAGGCAGATCTCTGAGAATTCCAGGCCAGCATGGTCTAAGTAGTGAGTTCCAGGTCAGCCAGGATTATACAGAGAGACAGATCCTATCTCAAAATAAAATAATTAATAACACCCCCACACACAAAAAAGATGAAAACCAAATAAAACCAGGACTCCGTAAGAACAGTCCCCGTATGAGGTTGTATAACTTAGAAAGAAATTAAAAATCTACAACCTCACTTGAAACCTGCAAAATACCCAGGGAACTCTTTCCAATCGTCTCACAGATAAGGCATCGAGGATTCGGAAAGACAAAAGTAAAAGGCCACAGCCGTGACAGAGTTGGGGTTTCCAGCCTTGAAACGTACAGCTCAGCACTCTGCAATTCACCAGGGAATTTTGTTTTCACTGAGCCCTGAGCCCTGAGCAGACAGGACATTGTTTAGGCATGTCTGAAAGGGCATTCAGGGACCCAGAGTGGAATGACCAGGTTAGCAACGTGGTAGAAAAATGCAGCCACCCAGATGGCTTGTGGCTACTCTGAAATAGTTTTCTCCGGTTCGGGAGGACTCAGATGGCATATGCTACCCCCACTCTGACATTTTTGAGAAATCTTTTATTAGAAGATGTCCCAGGAGGCAACAGTTTAAAATCAAGCAATTAACGATTACAACTAAATACAAAATTTCAGGTAAACTTGCCTTTCAAAATAAACCAGACCCTTGCAACAGGAGGTTTTTGTATGTTTTTTTTTTTGTTTGTTTGTTTTTTCTTGTACAAAAACAGTTAACACCACTTTGCAAAAAGCATACAAAAATACAGTATTAAAAAAAAAAAAGAGTCGCGCAGCACGTAACCCAGCAGCAGCTTATAAAATACAAGCCGTTCAGATGAGTCTTCAGTAGCCTGCTTCCCACTTACCCTTCCAACAGAGTCCCAGGAGTCCCTTGGTGCCTGAAAGTCCGGCCCCAGCAGGCAGAACGGCTACTTCCAAAGCTTTCTCTGAGGCCAGGAAGCAATGCCAAGCCATCATGGTCGGCAGATCTGGAAGTGGCAGCTGGTCTTTGAGAAGCACAGGTAGTATTTACCATCTGTCCGCCCCCCACACTGTTCCCCTACTTCCAAATGCAGGGCCAGCAGGAAGGAATTGGCCGTTCTGGGCAGAGTTCTGAAAAGGTTGACTCTTCGTTCAAGCAAAGTTTAGGATCTCCCAAGGATGCCCACATGACCACCGCTAGCTTGGGTGACTTTCCCTATTGAGGGCTGTACCTAGAGTCCACCTGGTGCTGCAGAACACAGCTGGAGCAAAACCAGTTGGGGTTGGCTGGGCACTGCTCCTAGGGCACCTCCTGGGGCACCTATAGCAGCTCCCTCAGAGTATCTATCAGGCCCAGATTCTGGGAGAAGGAAGTGACTCAGGGAACCAGGATGGTGGCTTCGGAGCCAGAAAACGCCTTGAAGTGGCTCGAGAAGGACAGATTTACACTGTTCCTGCAGAATTTAGACAAAAATCAAGAACTGACTTGAGAGGCAGGAGGAAAAGAGGAAGTGGTCGGGCACTTCCTTCTGGGGCTCTTTGTGTCTGCCTTGAGAGAAGGTTCCAAGCTGGGCTTCAAATGACCCTGCAGAAAACACCCGGGCAAGGAAGATGTTCAGGAGCCAGGATGCCAAGGCTTTCCCATGACCCATTTTCCCACGTCCTGCAGAAATATTTCTGATCTGTAGGAAAGGGTGCTGTGATGCCAATTGCATAACAAAGGCAGAAGCAAACAAACAAAAAAATACCTTGTAAGGATAGGCAGGTCTCTCTCTGAGAAGGCTCAGAGCGCTCTGAGACAAAGACTCTACAGGCCGAGCCCTTTAAATGTTTTCAAAGTCATAGCGTTGAGAGTGGAGGGAAGGGTGTGGCCTAATGTCCTAATGTATCTTAAAGGTTTCCACTCCTCAGCTACTGTAAAGTGTCTGACAGTGAGGTAATGGTCCATGCTGATCAAGCCTGTCTTCACCCAGGACAGCTCGCTTGTCTCCTGGAAAACAGGGCCTCGGGGACAGTATCTATCCAGGCCCAGCTGTCCTCGCGTCATCCCCAGAGACACCAGTGGGAGCAGAATCCTTTCCTAGCCTAAAGCTCTAGCACAGTGTGAGATTTCATGCAGGCTGCAGTCCCTGGCATCGCCCACCACCTGTTGCATAGCATCCGGCAGCCTTTCCTCAGAAGCCAGTGAGCTAGGCAGACCCGGAGTCTCCTCAGTCAGTCGCCTGCTGAGAAGCCAAAGGCGCCAGAGAAGACAGCACTCCCGTGAGTCAGGCAAGAGGGCGAGTTGGGTTTCGAGGTTTCCAAGAATGCAAGCCCTTATTGTGTGTGCACTGGCTGCAATGCATTCTGGGACCGACTGTCCAGCCTGCCCCGCTGTAACCAAAATGTGCAAATTACTAAAAGGGAGAGAGAAGATAGAAAATAAACGTGTGTGTGTGAGAGAGAGACAGAGAAGTCAGGCTTTTTGGTGGGTTAGTAGCCACTGAGGTACGCGATTCTTTTCTGCAGCTGCTGCTGCCGACACCGGAGCTGCCTTTTCTCTGTAGCCATCTTCTTCTCAGCCCCCACCAGAGCTTGCAAGTACTCCAAGGCCTTGCTTAGGATCACGACTTTGGGGGCCTTAGAGCAGCTGGCCAGGGTGGGCACCTGGTCCCTCAGGGCCAGGAACCGCGAACGGAGGTCATTCCTCCTTTTTCGTTCTAAGAAGTTATGGTTCTTCCTCTTGGTCACATCCTCAGTGTCAGAACTGACAGGTTTTGGGTGGCAGGACTGGGGAGTCTCGCTTTCTACAGGTGGGGGGCTCACAATTTCTTCCTCCTCCTCTTCCTCCTCTTCCTCCTCTTTCCCCTTGGGAGCTTCTACCTCTGGAGCCTCTGGTTCCTGGGGACCCCTCTCTGGAGCCCCCTCCTGAGAGCAACTTTCCGGAGGAAAGCGGGCAGCATAGTTATGCTGTTGCTGATGGATAGAGATGTGGAAATGTTTCATGCAGGGGTCCAGAGGGTCTGCTCGCACCGTGATGGTGACTGGCTTTCGGATGTCCAGAGATCGCCTCTTCTCCACCGTTACCACATCGATTTCTTCGCCCTCTGTCCAAGAAGAGATATGAAGAGAAGAAACGTATCCCATGAGGAACACATATACACACACCCTTCAGCCTCAGTTCGCAATGTCTCGGCTTGTGAGAGTAGGTGATGTGCCCACAATTTAGTTATCACCAAACTGAAGTGAGGAGAGAGACCACCAACTCATTTATTCTAGGAAAATGGCAGAGTGAAGGGGGAAATAAACAAGGAAAATAGTCTCCAGTTTCCTTCTGTACAAGGCTTGGGTAAGAACAAAAGGCAGACCCCAGCCAACAGCCCCCAGTCTGCACAGGCTCCCTCCTCCCCCACTGAGGGGATGGAAGGAGCCACTGGCCTAGGACAAAGTTTAGCTATAAAGATCTTCCCCATTAGGGCTCTTTCATGCCCCATCAGAATTGTAAATGAGGGGTCTGTGGGCAGAGTTGCCCTTTGTTCCTGCCCAGCACAGCCTGCGCTTGGGAATTGTTACTTTTCACAAGTTATAAATCCTATTATTCCCCACCTCTCTGTTCTACCATCCTTTCAGGGGAAGACACGCCGAGGAGGGAGGAGGGAGGGCAACAACCGGTTCTCTCCAGCCACAGAGGGGAGGGGAAGGGTCTCCCTCAGGAGCATTTTGTCCCCGGGTTCAATGGGTTTCTAAAGCCATCCATCATTTATAGGTCATCTGCCCCACCCCCACCTCTGGACCAGAAGAGGGTTGGATTTATAATCACAGGTCACAAGAGCCTTGGGAACTTCACAAAGGTACGAAAACAACCATTTCCCAATGAGCTGCACCAGAGGCAGAGAAGGAACAGCAGAATGACCCAGATAAAAGGGCCAACATGCCAGGGACTCAGAGACACCAAGAAGTGTCTGTACCATTCCCTAGCTGGAGGGTCTGTGAGAGGAACCCAACCTGGTCAGGCAATCAGGGAAAGACCTCCTGCTCCCCACATTCTGCAGTCCTCAACACAGAAGGCCACCTTGGAAGCATTCTGGCTGACAACAGAAGAGCTCCGATCTCTGCCTCTTTTGCATATCAGGAGGCTTGAGCCCCTTTGTCAGGAAGGTTTCCATTGTGTGGACAATCGCATTATTTCTCCATTAATAAAACCTGACCATTCAGCCCCCTGGCCTCAAAGCCTGTGATTGGCTGGCTAAGGAGTGTTTGGAATGCTGTTTTCCCCAGCCCCAATCCCTATTGGCTGATCTGTGCCGTCAGTCACACTCCCCACCCCACCCCCTCATTGTTTGCAATCTGTTGCATTTTGTTCTAGGCCATGTGGCCAGAGAGTGAACCAGGAGCCCACAAACAGGTCCAGGTTAAAGGGCAGGTCAGAAAATGATTCAAGTTTCTGTACATCCCAAACCTTTAGTTTTCACTGTTAAATCTCACAGCACACAGGGCTGTGTCTAAGGAAGGTATCATTTAAGACACCATTCTCCTTTGCAGAACATAGTCTCAGATTCCACAAGATAAGGGATGTCCTCAAGCGGGACAGCCAAGTCCATCCCTCCTCATTTTCACAAGAAGAAACGGAGGCCCAGATCAGACTGGCTCCCTGTCACTTTGATAGCGGTCTGGACCGCAGATAAAGAACTCCAAACTTCCAAGATGATGAGCTTTCTACTCTAACCCCCCCTGGTAGAGCTGCATCTTCATTAGTTTCTTGATCTCAAGATTCCCATTGGAGCCGTTAGACAAACACACAAGCTCCTTGCAGGTTAAAAATGATTCTCACCACCCCCCCCCAAATAAATGTACAACAGCTTCCACAGCCAACTCCCCAGTTCCCTCTCAAATACCCATGTAAGGTGTTTTCTTATCACTGCAGTGACTTTTCACTCTTAGCGACTGTGCCCAAAGCGCCCCCCCCCCCCGCACCTGCAATAGCACCTACTCCTGTCCTTCTCATGAGTAGGGAGGGGGCTAAGAGGCTGGGTGGTCTGACCTCAGCGAAGTCTGCCCTTCATCAGCACAGAGGGAGGCCTGGAGCACTATGACCGTTACCTCAACGCCAGCTCTTCTCCCAGAGGTGGGACAAAGTAGGAATCATTGAACATTTGTTGAATGCAGCCGAGCAGCTGAAGCCCACAGATGTGCTGGGAGGGAGCTTGGACACTAGCTAAATCCAAAGCAACAGGCATGGTGGAGCCTTTCCCAAATAAGCTGCAAGCAATAAATATTCCCTCTAAATATCGGGGAAGACCGGGGTTGAGGGTAGGGAAAAGAAGCTGGATAGACAGCAGGAGGCTGGGGCTCAGTCTTCGGATTTCCTGTCTCTAAGCCTCGGTTTTCCCATCCGTTAAGAGGAGCGTTTATTCTTCCCCACCTGTCTCACTGGTGATGAGGGTGCATAAATGGTAATCAGGGGAACTGGGATAGGAGGGGAGCCTAAGCAACTTAAGATAGCCTAGAGGTTTCCGAGAGGATGTAGACTTTGGTTCTGCACAAAAGGTTCCTTAGTCTTTTCTCCCTTAGGGAAGTGTGAGTTTCCCAGGGAAAAAGGCAGCAACAAAAAAGCTTCAAGCTTGGAGTGACTCTTAAGGGCACCCTTTTAAACCTCCCAAGGACAGAAATCCCCTACAGTCCAACCCCAGTATTGTCCTCTCTAAGCGCCAACCCTCAGCTTGTCGCCCCTGTCCCCAGGGGCTCCAATCACCAACAGAGGGACGCTGGCTCCCTCCCCACTTCTCCAAACTGTTTACCAACACACCCACGTGCCAGACAGACACAGCTGGGGGCTACACCGACAGCTTCAGTCAGAAAATGGGGAGGTGATGGGAAGGTTTAAGACCCAATGCTTGACCTCAGACAGCTGTAGAGCTCTGGCCACCCATGGGATGCCTCCCTCTTAGCTAGCCCGGGGTGGTCCTTACCGGAGTCGCTGGGGCTCTCGGACCCGGAGCAGGCCTGAGTCTTGGGTTCGCCCAGCTGACACGGGGTGGCAGGCGCCGGGTTACTACTGGTTTCCAGACTGGGAGTGCAGTCCGGGGTGGCGGGCGCTTTGGGCGGGTTCCCCCGGGGCGCGCCTGGGGTGAGTCGGTCGCTCACTACTCTCTCCAGTCGTTCCCGGGCAGAAAAGCCGCTCCACATGCAGTCACGGCGGATGATGGAAGCATAATTCCTGCCCCAAGTTTTCGAATGGCCTCGAGATTCCACCTCGTCCCCGGCACCCCCTCCGGGCCAAGGCTCCCCGGGACTAATCCCAGAGGCTGGGTCCCCGACGCCGGGACCCGAGCCCCAGGGCGGCGACGTGGGGGGCGACGGCACCAGCTCGAATTTCTTCCAGATGTCCTCGCTGGGCGCCGTGGAGCGGTAGAAATCCTCTCCGCAGTCATAGTCGTAGAAATAGTGCTGGTACGAGTCGAAGTCCATGTCCGCTCCCTGCGGGAGGGAAGGGGAGACGTGCTGACTGCGGTGCCGGCCGAGGGAGGAGGCGGCTCCGAGACCCTCGCCGCAGCCGGCTGCGGGGCTCCGGTCCCTCCCCAGGCCCACCGGCTTGCAACCCGCGCCCTGGTCCCTGGTCCCGGGGAGCCTGGCCTGGGGTCAGCACGCTCAGGGCAGCTCGCAGCGGGCCGACCAAGCTGCGGGGAGCGAGTTCAAAGCAAACTTTGCCAGCACCGCCCGGAGCGCAGCTCCTGGGGCACAGCAGGGCCGGGCGGGGGCGCGCTGTCTCGAAGGCAGCCTGCAGCCTTGTAGACCGCCCGTCCCCCAGGGACCCGCGCCCGGGCC